TCTCCTGTTAAGAACACATAGGAATTATCTCCCACTCTTTAAGGAAGCAAATAAAGAAGGCTTCTTTCCAAGCAGCACAGGAAGTGCTGCAATGTTCAGGAACACTGCAGGCTGCACCTGGGACTACTGTTCCATATGATCCTTTATGTGGGATGCTTCTTTCAGTTTGGGATAATACAGTAGTTTTCACAAGCATATACACATATGTCTCTCTCACATATCACATGGATACATATATGTTATATGTAAAACCCTTAAAAGTGGGCAGTAGAATGCACATATATATATAATTATATATGATGCATATATATATGATAATTCTGTGGCTGTTAGAATGTAAGTGAGAATTAAACTGGAGATCCACACATTAAAGAAATTTATGGCAAGTAACTACAAGTTTGACAAAGAAAATAACAGGAAAATGACAGGAATATGAAACACCAAGTGTTTAAGTGCAAACTAGAAATCTAATGACACAGTGCATGCCAAACTCCTTTATGGGATAAAAACCCCCAAATTTCTTGAAGGTCATAATTAAGACCCAGTGCATTCAGAACCAAGGTTGTAGGCTGAAGCAAAGCCCATGTCCTTGTGGCCCTAGCAAGTTCTTCTCAGTTCAGTCTGTGTCACATAGCCGAACGCTGTTCCTCAGCTCCATCCTCTAAGCTCCTTGGGGCATCTGGCCCAGCCCAGGCTCTTCTGGGCCTTTATTTGTCTTTATATGATTCCCCATATCTCCATGGCAAGCAACCGGGCCCCAGAAGGTGCATGTATCCAAATGCCCTACACACCTTACTACTGGGCCATGTGGACAGAGGGGACTGAAGGCAGAGTGGCAGAGCTGCTCCCCTGAGGACAAGGCCAGTGTACTGACCTCCTAACTCATCACAGTTCATATGTGTGTGTGTGTGTGTGTGTGTGTGTGTGTGTGAGACACAGTACTGGAACTCAGTGCATGGAGGCTTTGACCTTGGTGGACATGTGAGCATGTACGCAAACACACACAGACACACACAGAGACACACAGACACACTAGAAAGGAGGGGACCCCGAAAAGCAGAAAGCACGGGGTCCAGTAAATGGTAGTCAAATGAGGAGCATGAAAAGGAACGATGCTGATTAGAGGGGAGAGAGGAGAAAGTAGGGAGAGGAAGAGGAGGGGAGGGGAAGGGGACAGGGGAGAGGGGAAGAGAGGAGAGAGCTCTGTTCTCAGCAAAGCTGGTAGACTGCGCCCATCACAAAAGAAAAATAAGGTAAAAGTGAAAGTACACAATTGTGACACATACATAATAGCTTAAGATACATTACTAGCAAAGTAGAAACTATGGAATGAACAACATGGACATACTACTACTTCATTTTTATGCAGAGCACAAAAATTGATTATGATCCACTATGCTCAAAGAACAGGGAGAAAACCATACCAAGTCAATATGGCAAAAGTAAAAAATAATATGACAAAAATGAATGACAGAGAAGTAGACAATGAATGACAAGAATATCAAAATCCCTTCCCCCACAGCATCAAGTAGGGACTCAAGAGACACTGTTAATTGTTGACGGAAAAGACACAACTGGCTAAATACATAACTTAGAAGTATAAGGTAAACACAAGAACCAAATATAACATTTCAACTCTTGAGAGGTGAGGGAAAAGGAAGGCTGTAGAGAGTGTAATAAGTGAGCTACATCTTTATTTGTTACAATCTCCCAGATAAACTAATAAATAAGCAAATACACATGAGGATAATATTTAGCTATCTCTATAACATATATATACCATACAGGTGTAATACGTGTACATACATACATGCTACTCTAAAGAATACACACATACACACATGTGGCACACACACAAGTAACATGTTAATGGTGGTTTCTATGTAAGGCAAGCCTGGGTGTGAGGAGAAATGGGAAGAATGAGTGTAAGCTCTTCTCTATAAGCTTTGCAGGTATGACCGGGGAGGGAGGGGGGGGCAGAAAGCACGTATAAGTTGGCAGTTAGTTGGTTATGCATGAGAGAATATATGTGAGAACCTGATAACATCAACCTCCCAAAATGACAAATAAAAGCATGACTAAAACTTATGGAGATGGACTATAAAATATCAGAATCCATCTCCATCATCTACAAGTTTGATTGTTATAGTTAAAAAGTTATTGACTCCTTCCACCTCTTAATTATAAAACACATAGGGAAATATATATATATATTCCCTGTGTGATTTCTCCCCCCTTAGGTCAAAATGGAATTTTAAGGACTATGAATGCCGTCTGGTATATTAACAATAATTGTCCTGCTTTTGGGGTAGAGACTAAAAGGCAGGTACAGGGCCTACCTGCCTCCATGGCAGCCCAGCTGCTTGCCCACTTCATGCTGTAGCAGGCCCTCCAGTAGTGACTTCAGCTCGGGGGAGAAGGCATCTGAGAGCTCCACATTCTGGGAAAAGAAGAGAGAGACCTCATAAACCCTCATGCCAACTAGATGCTATGCTGCTTCTTTTAAGTACAGCAGGAAAAACTGCAGATTCATTATGGATTAGTACTGCCACACAAACAAAAAGAAACATATAAAGATTAGTAATTGGTTTCAAAACCAGTCAACAGGCTGGAGCCAGATCTGAAGACTCATACGGCACCTCCCTCTTCTGCATCATAGTAATTGCTCCTTTTATTTGATTTCCTTGGTTTCTTTTTTTAATGTCTTTTTTATGTGGTCTGTTGTTTGCAAATCTTGATTTTTATCCTGGAATCTAGTTCATTTTATTTTCCTTTTAAGATTCTTCCAGGAATTTTATCTTCATTGATTTACTTCAGGAAGGCAAATTTTTAATGCTTTTTACATTTACATATTATATATTATTTTTAGCCCATTTTTTATAATATAGTAATTTTAGTATTGGTGGAATAAAACATGAAAACACTATGATGCAAATAAGAATATAGTTTTTAATCCTCTTAACCACGGTGAGTGTCATTCGGTCTATCTTATGCTTATCTTTGGTTTTGAGTTGTCTGAAAGGGCTGTGACTGTAGAAATAAAGAACACTGTTAAAATATGGCAGCAGGGTAAGTTAGCACATGCACTAATATTTGGGTGAAGTATTATTTGAAACTATAGAAATGCAAAAGTCATAAACACTTATCATTCCAGAAAAAAACTGGTGAGCAAATATATTAGGCCCTGAACAAGCAAGACTCCACCTCACCTGATTTGTCTGATCTTCATGTCAGTGAAACTGTGGCACTGAAATGTGGTTTTCTAATTAAAATATCATTAGAGGGAAAATCAGTCAATAGATAACCATGAAAATATGAGTCATTTACAGAAAGTGTCATGAGTGTTTAAGCAAGCAATAACTTGAATACAATTAGTTTAGCAAAGGGGACACTGGCCCTTAAAACAACCCACGGAAAGACAGTCAATCTGAAGCAAGATCAAGATGAACAGGAGTCACCCACCCCTAAAGGCCAGTAAAGTTAAGCAATCCATTCCTTTATTGACAACAGAGATAAACAGTAATACACCACCAGGTACCCGGAGACCTGGGCTCTTACTTAAGTTTTGCTCATGCAGAACCCTGGACTTCAGAGACAGAAAAGTTGGCAAAGTTGTGACCCAGCTGTTTACTGGCTGTGAGCCAGGAGTTATCCTTCAGAACTAATGTGTTTATCTGTAAAATGGGAATCATGCCTCACACTTCACAGAAGAGAAGGGAAATTAAAAAGGGAAGGGGAAGAGAAACTAAAAAGTGAATGTTTGAGTATTCAAGATGACAGCAGTATACAGTAGGCAACTTCTATAGTAATCACTTATAAAATTAAGAGAGACAACTTTTACTTTATAAAATGAATCTTCAACTTGGTAAACTATTTAAAACAGATTAGCCTTACTCTCTGCCATGTTTAAAAAACTCTGGAGAAGCTGACTTTTATGGAAAATTCTATCACTAAAAGACATTCAAATTAGCACAGCATAGCCTATTACTTGAAAATTAAAGGGATACAGTTGAGTTTCTTACAATAAGTAACACATGCCTGCAGTGACTAGCCCTGTCAGTTTGTTGATAAGGTATTTATGATATAACCTGAGACAAGGTATTATACAAAGTATTTTAATATTAACTTTACAAATGGATTGGAATGTTCAGCATGTAAATTAAGGGGATTTGGAAAGACAACAGAAATAGAAACAAAGTCTCTGTAAATAGGGAGGGTGGAGAGGTTGAACATGAATTAGTTTCAATGTGTTTACAAACAAATTCAAACTTTTAAAGTGGGTTTATTTTAGTTCTTCATCTTTTTTGGTGGGTAATCCTCAAAATGCTTTTGGCTCACAAGAGAATCTTAGCAATAATTGGCAGGGAGAAAAATTATCCCACATTCTTCAATTATCCACATTTTAATAAATACTGTACTTACTCCCAGAACACGGCCTATCAATGAAAATATCCCAAAGCAGTCTCACTTTAGGGTTAACCATACTGGGATTCTTGTGTTTTGATCTAGAAGCTTATGGGAAAGCAGCTCTCATGTTGTAAGGCACAAAGAACTCCCTAGGCATCTTCCAGAGCAGCCCATGGCTCGAGTATCACTGTGATTTCAGATATGAGGGTCTAGTAATCTCTAAATACCTGCTGCTTTGGTGCTGGGATGGGACTTAGGGCATTGAGTGTGGTAGGCCAGTGCTCTAGCACTGAGCTATAGCCCAGCCCAAAGCATTATTGATATTGGTCCAAGCACATGGCAGCACGGTGGTTCCACTCACCCCCTCAGAAGTTTGAAAAGCATGCAGCCCAGGGAGAACCAGTCGGCACTGCTGTCATAGGCTGTCCCCTTCTGCAGCACCTCAGGAGTCATGTACCCATGGGTGCCCCTACAGAGAAGACAGGACAAGTGGTCATCAGAGCACCCTCACCTTAGGACAGTACAGTGACAGTTGACCAGGAGGTGCAGATGCTGTGTGAGACAGCAATGACTATGTACCAAGGAGAGGGCACACCTGCTTCCATACACACTATGCACCACACGTCCAATCTTCCCCACATTTGGTGTGTGTAAATTCACATAAATGACTTAATCCAGCATGTAAATGTGCAGATGGGAGTCCCTGAGTCCAGGAGGTTAGATCTGAATCTCAAAGTTCCTTAACCCCTTTTGTCCCACCACAAAGGGCTAAAGGTCTCCTGCCTTTTCAAAGGCCCTGGTACAGGATACCTGGGGACCAGGGAGGAAGGAGAGGCAGTGGGCAGGTGACTGTGGTACAGTGCTGTACACCTGAGGGCAGGGAAACATTCACTCCTCGCCATGCCACCTCTGGTGCGAGGACGTCACATGTGCCAACAGTAAGGCTGCTTGTTCAGGGCAAAAAAGGCCCAGGGGACTGGGGTGGGGAATAGAAGCACCAAGGACATGAGGTAGAGATGCTACATTAGGCTTTAACACTTGCTAAAAGTCTAAGGACTCAATACTAAGCACACATGAAGATGATTAGCAGGGTGACGAGAAATCTCTTGGAAGGATACCCATTTTTACATGGTCCCCTCTGTCTACACCAGGTCACTAAGAGCTGAGCACACACACTGTTCCATCATGAGAGGTCAGAGGAGCTCTGGGGAGCTCTCCAAGATACAGCCCAGGGTGGCCTTGGAAAATCCATTCTCTGTATGCCCTGCAATCTCTCCAGCCCTCACTAATTTTCCTCATCAATAGACTGGGTAATAAGATGACGCCACTACCTCTCAGGGGTGCTGTGAAGATATAGCACAGGTTAAGAATGGTCCTGGAATATAATAAGAGCTCAATCCATGCTGGGGATCTAATCTCTTCTCTTACCTGGTATAATCATTTGTAACATTTATGCTTAGGCACAGCTAAAAATCTGCTGAGAAGCTTACTCAGGATCCCAGATCATCACGGAGCCCTGAGAAATCAAATGCAGGGTTAAATTCTGGACAAAAATCTTTAATCTAGCACCAAGCGCTATAGATGATTTCAAAGCCTCAGGGTGTTCACCCATATAATGTAAAGAGCACGGGTTTTAGCATCTGACAGAGGTGGGTTGTAATTCCAGCCACAATGTGGACAGTCACATGACCTTGGTCAAGGGACTTAATTTCTCAGGACCTCAATTTGCATACCACAAAAAGTTGGTAACAATACCCATGATTTATGGGGTTTCCATGAAGATATATTCAGAGCAGCTGGCGAGGCCTAGAACAGCTGACATCCAACTGATGACACAGCCAATGCTGCTGGTTTCACTCCCTCCCTTCATGCTGGTCACTTAACGAACAAAGTTCCCTGGGCTTCTGGTTCCAGGTCAGGGACCAGTTAGTTCTGTCTCACTGCTGTACCTGGCACAGAGTGAGTGTGAAATACTTATTGAATTACTTATTGGGCTCCTCACTTCACACCACCCCAGGAGGGAGATCCCATGGTGCTCTCCTCTTTATAGAAGAGAGAAATGAGGTTCAGACAACCTGGAAAAGATTCAAACCCAGACCGAGCAGCTCTGAAGCCTTTTTTCTTGGTCACAAAAAGCCTCCTTCTTTTAAAAATGTTGCATGTCAGGTGCTGGTAATTCCAGCACTCTGGGAGGCTCAGGCAGGAGCATCAAAAAATTCAAGATCCTGGCGGGCTCTGGGCCCGCCGGCCGGAGCGCGGGGCGCAGCTGGAGCGCGCCAGCCAGGGGCCTCGAGTGACAGGTTTGAAGCAGCTGCTGCCCGAGCTGGGAATCGCCCGGCCCCCGGTCTTCCTGTGTGTAGCTGCGAGTAAGTTCTGGAACATTGGTCACATCCTGCAGTTGAATTGGGCTGTCTTTTGGGAATGAGGAATTATTCTTGACAGAAGCATTTGAAAAGAAAAATCTGTACCATGGCTTCAGCAGTACTTAGTTCTGTTCCCACTACAGCCTCTCGTTTTGCCCTTTTACAAGTAGATAGTGGCAGTGGTTCTGATTCTGAGCCTGGAAAAGGGAAAGGTTGGAATACTGGAAAGTCTCAAAGTATGGGAAGCAAATCAACTACAACTGAGGAAAAAAAGAGAAAAAAGAAAAAAAAAGAAAGAATAGCAACAAAGTGAAGCAAATGAGCTTAGGAATCTTGCTTTTAAGAAGACTCCCCAGAAATCCTCTCATGCCATTCGTAATGCTCATCAGGACCTTCCACAACTCTGTGCAGAAGGATTCACAAGAAGAAAACTGGCAAGAATGGAGACAAAGAGATGAACAGCTGACATCTGAAATGTTTGAAGCTGATCTTCAGAAGGCATTATTGCTAAGTAAATTAGAATATGAAGAGAACAAAAAGGAGTATGAAAATACTGAAAATGCTTCAACTCATTCAAAGGTTATGCATAAAAAAGATAAAAGAATCATCAAGGAAGAGATAAACCTCTCACAGTATCACTAAACGATTTCCAATCTGCAGATCACATTAATAAAAAGACTGAGGAATTGAGTTCTTCTCAGACTTTATCACATGATGGAGGATTCTTCAATAGATTGGAAGATGATGTTCATAAAATTCTTATTAGAGAAAAAAGAAGAGAACAGCTTACAGAGTATAATGGAACAGATAACTGTACAGCTCATGAACACAAGGAAGTGGCTCTTAAAGATGGAAGAATTGAAAGACTAAAGTTGGAACTTGAGAGGAAAGATGCTGAAATCCAGAAGCTGAAAAATGTGATCACTCAATGGGAGGCAAAGTATAAAAAAGTAAAGGCAAGAAATGCACAGTTACTGAAAATGCTTCAGGAAGGTCAAATGAAAGATAAAGCAGAAATACTTCTGCAAGTTGATGAATCACAAAGTATCAAGAATGAGCTAACTATACAGGGAACTTCACTTCATGCTGCATTAGAACAAGAAAGAGCTAAAGTGAAAGTATTACAAGCAGAATTAGCCAAGTACCAGGGTGGCAGAAAAGGAAAAAGAAACTCTGAATCTGACCAGTGCAGGTTAAGATTACATTAGCCTTTAAAGTCAACACAAAAATTAAACTTTCAGGGCTTTTCAAAAATGTAGATATTCAATGTTGTGCAGCTCCTAGACTATGCAGTTTTGTTGAAGGAACAACAAGCAACTAGCTAATAGTCTATAAATTTATGGTTTTTGGCTTAAAAGTGAAAAGAAAAAATTAGAATTCCAGTAGAACTTAATGATTATTGTTTACTATCCATACTTCTTGTCACTTTAGTTTTTCATCATTCAATAAATTTACTTTCCTATTAAAAAAAAAATTCAAGATCCTGTCTTGAAATAAAAAATAAAAAGGGCTGAGGATGAGGCTTAGTGAGAAGGCCCTGGGTTAAAAAAAAAAGATTAGCATTTCATTGTGCACTTAGCTTTGTAAAGCAATGGTATTTCTCTTATCAATTAACATGCAAACTAGCCTTCTTGGTCCAACCCTTTCACAGATGCTATTCAAACACCAAGCTTCCCAAGGTGGGCAGAAGAGCCCACTTTGGGAGATGATATGAAATTGAGCAAAAAGTAGGCTGGGCTGTAAAAGGAAATAACTCCATGTCTGAAAGTTAATTCTTTTGGAAGATTAACTCTTATGAACTCTTGGGTTCATAGTGATGATTACAGTAAACTGAAGAAATTAGCATACCAAATAGCTGTGGCATTAAAAATTCAAATGACTCTTAAAAACATCTGCTGAACTCCCGGGGAGAAGCTTATACAACCACGGGCTCTAGCCTAATAAGTGGAAAATGCTAGCAAAATGCTAATGCTTTTATTGCCATATCCCTCACTCTGTAGAAAAAAGTATGTTTATAGAAATGCTGCTATTCATTGTTAACATTTGATCAGAGCTTTAAAAGGCAATTTTGCTTTAATGCAGTTCCACATAAGGGATTGCAATTCAGAACTGCTTTACTTCTAGTTACACAAAGAGATGGTCCGTAGTTTATTTTCTGCACGGAGGTATGCAATGAGACCTCAAGGAGTTTCCTCGAGACCATTCAACGGAGATCAATGTTTGCTCAAGAGGGACAATAAAATGTAATATTAAAAGATGCAGTGTTAAGAAGGTGACATTTAAAAGGACAAAGCAGGATTTGTCTGCTTTACCACAAATGGTATACATCTCTACTTTCCACCCAGATGAACTGATATCAAAGAAACAGAAATGAACAGCAGGGCAGACTCCATTCTGCGTTTGTAGACCAGGAGAGAGCTGTCTGAACATGCCTCCTGTCATATTCCTGAGTTAGGAGATGACCTTGGGCCATATCAACCAGCACAGACCAAACAGGGCCACCACCAGGAGCAATTCAGTGTCCCTGATGTGCCAGGAGCTGGCCCCAGGCTGCAGACCAGGAGTTACCCCCATGTGGTAAGTTGGAGGACTGGCGAAATACCTGAATCCAACAACATGACCCACATTAAAAGCCTGAACTACAGGGAGATGATTAGCTTCTTCAATTTAGGAAAGAAAATGTCCTGATTTCTCTTCAGGGGAAAAAAAGTATTTTTAAAAAAGAAGAAAAAAGCAGATAGAGAGGGAAACTTGACCCTTAGACCCTGCCTTGGAGAGTTCTGTACAGCTGCCTGCACCCCTCTTTTGGCACTTGGGTTCTTGCATTTATCCTTATGACAATGTAAAGAGATTTATTATTATCATCGCTACTCTAGAGAAGAGACTGAGGCTCAAAGAGCTGAGCTGTCCTGCCTAGGTTCACAGGCAGCATGAATTCAGCTCTCTACCCAAGGCCTGAAGACTCTCCACAGAGCAGGGACCGCCAACCTTGTAGAGCTTTCAATGACATGGCCTGCTGCAGCACATGTGCCATAGGTTTGCCAACACTGCCACAGACCCTTCCTGAGCAGGCTAGTTCCAGTGTGGGCCAATTCACGCTCCTGAAGCATCTCACTCTTACCTCCACCCCAAACCTGCAATGATGGATCCTCCCCTGACTAGGTATTATCACCCAGTCCCACCAGTGGGTACTGAAAAGCACAGTTGGCAGGAGAAAGGGGATGGGAGACAATGGCTAAGCTAGCGCCTGATGGAACAAATGAACTGCAGCAGGGAAAGGGTAGCCAATACAGTGGATGTGCCACTTACACGCCTGCATGCAGCTTCTTTTTGGAAAAATCACAGGCCAGTCTGAGATCAGAGATCCTGACATGCCCATGCTCATCCAGGAGGATATTTGCAGGCTAAATGGAAATAGAAGATGCTCATCAGAAGTCGCGACAGGCCACGGGGCTTGGAGACCTTCTAAGAGCATCCACATTTGCTAATATATCACTTTGTCATGGTTTGTTCCTAAAAATGCAATTATACCTGTGTTCCCAACAGAAGCATGGCAGAGCACAGAGAACAACACTGCTCAGGTTAATTTTACCAAAGAAAAGGCAGTGAAAGAGGTGAAAGACTTTACTCCTTAAAAAATGACACATGGGCAGTTGACCTGGGCAGGTTCTGACCACAGTTCATCAGAGTGAACAGCAAGCAACTCCTTAACTGCATGCCAGGAGCCACACGGTGGCCAGGTCAGGTAACTCTTGGCAACAGGGAACAGTGCCACCTTCTGTGTGGCTTAGGTGAATCAAAACTTTAGAGGATGAAGCTGCACAGCACAGAACAGAAAGAAACCTTGCAAGAACACACAGATGCTAACCTAAGAAGTCAAACTGTTCCACACTGCCACACTAATCCTGATAAATGTCATTTCTGTTTTATTGGTATATCATCAAGTGAGGGCCCTACTAAATGACCAAATATGATTCTCACCGCCACTCTGATAAGATGTATCAAGATTAGATTTAGTGTAATCATGGAAAACAAAGCTCCTCTCCCTAATGTACACTGAATTACTGTCATCTTAATAATATTTTTCTGCTGGAGATCAACTATTGTTTTGGTTAAAATAAAAATAATGGCATGCTATTATAAAATCGAAGCATGAATAATCATGAGAGACTAGAATTCCCTTTGAATAGAAATTAAATAATAGCATTAAATAATAGCTAACTAAATACCTTAGAAAACAAAAATATGGCATAAAGATGATTAGAAACCGGTTATAGGTTCAAATTAAAATGTATTAGAATAGCACTTCATGAATGAACCTTCAGCAGCAATTTTCTGTAAAACCCACATGAGGAAACAAAATGTCAGAAGCCAATCAACATCTAATTATGTCTAATTCAATAAAAATACTATTTTTCTTTACTTAAGTACACATGAAAACAAAAGGAAAGCCTTGCAGAAAGCTTTAAAATTCACAAAATATTTTGTGGAAAAAAATGTTCAAAAAGTACATTTATAACATTTTAGATTGGTAGAAGGTAAGTGAAAAAGCTAATCAACATCCCAACTCCTTAGAAAAAGGAATGTAACCTGTACATTTCAGTTGGTCACTGTGGATCTGCATCTCAAGAATCTCAAATAGGAGGCAAATATTTGCCACCATTCTCCTGGTGTCTTCTCATTTTTCTGGCAAACTCTTATTCCTGTGAATTTTCTTCTCACTGTCATTTACACATTAACACATCTGTACAAGCCTATCTGTATTTGTTAAGGTCCTTTTTCTCGCCATCCCTGACTTCAGGCTGCTGAGCGTCACCAAGGACACACTGAGTAAGTCACAGACTTCTTCCTCCATGGACAAACAAGACCAAGCACAGGGTTTGGAGTAGGAAAGCTTGCAATAGGACTAAGTTCTGGTACAAGAGCAGAGACCCAAGCATAGCATCAGGGGTTACAGAGTTCAGGAATCCGAAAATCTATTGGTGGTTTTTAAAGCAATCTCAACACAATGGGAAAATGTAAGACTGGTCTTTGGAGAAATTCTGCAAGCTGATCAGAAATTCACCCATCCTGACCAGCCTGGCCTTAAAGGAGCCAGCTTATAAGTCTCAAACAAACAAACAAACAACACTCCCCACCCCCAAAAAACCTCCCAGTGATATCTCAGTTCATGAACTTAATTCATTCCATGATTCTGGAAAAGACGGCCACATTTGTGTTCTTGTGAGAAAGATGGTTGCAATCGTGTTTGTCACCCGATGCGGAGTTCACAAACAAAAACAAAATTTTGCCAAATGCTTTTGTTTGCAAACTAAACTGTTTGCAAACAAAAGCGTTCATGAACCAAGGTACTACTGTATATTCTCTGCCTGTTCATCTTAGTATATTTCCATCTCTGACAAACAGCCACAGCCAAATCAGTTGTTTAGTGAAGATTACTTGAACTACAAGTAATTATAAAATGAGCAACACCAAAAATATTCCTACCCTGCTTCTTCTAATTATTAAATTTTTTTCTTTTTTTTTTTGGTACCAGGGATTGAACTTGGGTCCTTCAGCTTGTAGGGCAGGCAGCAGAACCACTGAGCTAAATCCCCGGCCCTAATTATTAAATTTCTGATTGGCCTAAGTGCTATTCCAGGCACCAGAGCAGGGGCTGAGGTGATCACACAATGAGGATGGCCATGAGTTCTGTCCCTGGAGAGCCTGAGTCAAAGAGACAAACATCACACAGAGAATGACTCTGTCAGGTACAGGATGGAGCTATAAGGGAGGGGACAGCACAGATAGAGAAGGGGAGACCTTGGAGGGCATCAGTACAGCATCTGGACCCACCATGCAGAGTAGCAAATCTTCTGTCCTCACCTTCAAGTCTCTATAGACCACAAAGCGGCTGTGCATGTGCTCCAGCCCCAGATTGATTTCTGTGGCATAAAACCTCATCTCCTTCTCAGAAAAAACTCCATGCTGTGAGAGGTAATAATGCAAAATGCCACCTGGAATCAGGCGCAGAAGTTAATTCACAGTGTGTTTGTTTGAAGGGAACAAGAATCACTGTCATCCTAAGTAGTCAGGACACAAGCAGAGAAACCAAATGCTGCTCTGCCTTCTGTAGTTTGATAAAAACTTAAAAATGTTACAGAGAAAATGTGATCTTCAGGAGACATAAATGCAATGATGAGTGACGTGAAACAGCAGAGCAAAGTCACAGTTGCGCTTGGGTTGGCAGCTCAGCTGCCATTACTCCATTAAAGGCAGGACTAGCTAACCTACTTCGATTACTTAAACCCTGTTTGATAACTGAATCAACCTCTGCAGAGATTCCAAGGCAGTTTAGTGACTGCCTCTACAGACAAACAAAACAACCAAAGAACATCTGATAAAGCAAATAGAGTAAACTTTGAACAGCTGAAAACCCAGAGGTGGGTGTCTGAGTGTTCCCAGTAAAATTCTTTCCACTTTGCCACATGTTTGAAATTTTTCATAATACAATGTTGGGAAAAGGAAATAATTATGTGGACTCAAGTTACAGGGAGCAATACTGTCAACAACAGGGCAAGAGAATTGTTTTATAAGCCATAGGGAAAAGTCTCTCGATTTATAAAATTAATGTGTCTTCCACTTCATCACCCTGGCCTTGATAGGTACAGCACTCCCCCAACACATACTGGTGCGTCTCTGTCCTCATTCAAGACTGAATTTATAGTATCCTGAAAGCTCTCTGGGGCCCTCTCCAGCCACAGCTTTGGTCCCTCTGCCCTATCCAGTCCTAAGCAAATACAAGGTATGAAAAATATGAAAAATATGAATTTAAATTTCAAAAAAGTTTACTATACTAAAAGACACATTGTTATTAATCTCCCTCAAAATACTCCCCCTTACTTCAAATACATTTATTCTACTGTTCTTGCCATTTCTAAACCAGTTCTGGAAATCTTTTTTTGAGTATCTTTACTTGAGTTGTTGTGGCTACCTCAAAGTCCTGAACAGGTTCAAAGTGTTTTTCTTTCATTGTCATTTTGACTTTGGGGGAAGACTCAGAAGTGACACGGGGCCAGATCTGGTGGATAAGGTGGATGACGACACATTGTAATGTTTCTGAGCCTGCTTTTCCAATGGATGGCACTCAGCAGTGCTGTTCACTGAATATTTACTCACATCTCATAAAGACACTCATGAATAAGGATTTGTAGAGCTGCTTCAGAAAGTGGCAAGAACCACGGGGTATGTGTTTTTTGGGGGTTTTGAGACAGGGTCTCACTATGTAGTCCAGGCTGGTCTTGAACTCACTATGCAGACCAGGATGGCCTCAAACTCATGGTGATCCTTCCGCCTCAGCCTCTGAGTGCTGGATTATAGGTGTGCACCACCATGCCCAGCTGAGTGTGTTTAAAGTGAGGGGAAGTGTTTTGAGGGGATGAATGGCAACGTATCTTTTACTATAATAAATTGTATTTAAACATTCTCCATATATTTTGTGCTGGTGCCTGGCTGATTTGGTTCATGATTATGTCTGAGAAATTCCTTCCTGTTTTTAGATAAATCTTCTTTTAAATCAAACACTCAAAGCTTCAAGTGAACTTAAAAAATAAACTAGGCATCTGAATGGTTGAATTGTCTACCTCTTAATTTCAGCCCTTGTTCCTAAAAATAGTTTGAATATACATTGTATCACTTTCTTATATTATAAAGCAACTTTTCCAGTTGGACATTGGCTCAATCTGGGCCACTGCTCACAGTCTGAAAGATGAACCGAGGGGCCGGGGATTTAGCTCAGTGGTTCTGCCACGTGCCTTGCAAGTGCAAGGACCCAAGTTCGATTCCCGGTACCAAAAAAAAAAAGAAAGAAAGAAAGATGAACCGAGGATTCTGTGGATTCAGAAGGCGCAGAGCATTTAGCTAAAATTTGTACTGGGCCAAAGTCAACTCTTCAAAGTTGGTTTTTAAACACATGTCTTTGGCCTATGTTCTTGGGAGGTGTTTCATTCCTAAGAATTGAGGGTCAGGAAATAAGCTACTTAAAGACCTAGACCAGCTGCATTCCAGAAAATCAAATTTCACTGGCAGTATTTTATGAGAATATTTTCTAGAAAATCGGCCGGGGATTTAGCTCAGTGGTTTCGCTGCCTGCTGCGCAAGCGCAAGGACCCGAGTTCGATCCCCAGTACCAAAAAAAAAAAAAAAAAAAAAAAAGAAGGACGTATTTTCTAGAAAATCCAACTTCCTAGGGACAGACTGGCAGGCCCAGAGGGAAATCATAGTCAATGTTGTAAAATGAATTTTGACTGAAAACTGAAGGGCAAAGGTTTCCTCAAATGTCGGGGATGGGGAGAGCCTGATCACCAGAGAGGACTGAACACCAGCCTCGATGTTCACTGCCCAGATGGAACCTTATATAGAGCCTTTCAGGGGACAGACTTTGGGTTTGCTTACCGTTCATCAGGTCAAGAATGAAGCAGAGCTTATCTGGAGTGTGGAAGGCAATGATCATACAGATGATGAAAGGACAATCCTGCAGGGAAGGAACAGAAAGCTGATGAGCAGACCAAAGGCTGCCCTGGAGAGCACATGTGTCACCAGACATCACCATGTGAATATGGCCTGGCCACCACCTGCTTACTATGCATGGTCACCTCGGAGGTCACAGTGAGGCAGGTCTCGTAATGATGAAGTGCACAGAGACACAACCTGAGTCAGTGGGGCAGATGAACTTCAAGGCTCTTTCTCACCTGCATTCAATTTCAAAAGACTAGATTCTAGGGAAAAATCTCATCTCACTAATCTTTTCTTTGGCCAGTATTTTGATTTTGCCTAGTCAATTACCCATTTCCATCTCTGCTTCTGAAGTTGGAATGACTATACTAGAGTACACTATAAGAGGGAAGAATATCTGTTATTGTTTTGAAACACTGAGAATAAAGTAATTAGCTTTTAAAACTGGAAAAACAGACCATGGTCAGGGACTGAATAACTTAATTATAAGCAGACCTGAATTAATTTACAGACGCCATGCAACTTTAATTAAAATGAACATTGACAAGCCGATTCTAATATTTATGGAACTGTAAATAGCCAAGAAAGTTCAGATACACTTGAAGAAAAACAAAGCCAGAAAACTAAAGAGTAGCAGATATCAAGCCTTATTATAAATCAGTAATAATTCAGCCCAAGGACAGACAAGTATACAAGTGGAATAGCACAGAGAACAGCACAGAGAAGTGGACCCATGCCTAAATTGGAACTTGAGTTGTGATAAGGTGCCACAATGGGGCAGGGGAAAGGATGGTTTTTCACTCAGTGGCACTAGAGCAACTGAACTGCTGTAAAATAAAACATGACCCATACCCCGGACCTCGCTCCACACACTAATATCCCCTCCACTTGATGATGATCTAAATGTGCAAATTTTATTTTCACAGCTTCTAGAAGAAAACACAATAGAATGATCCTCAGAATCTTGGGGAAGGTAAGGCTTTCTTAAACAGGCCACATCAGTAAACACATTGATAAACTTGACTATAATAAAATTAAGAACTTCTGTTGAGCAGAAAACACAGTTAAGAGAAAAGTCAAGCCACAGAATGGGAGAGGATATTTGTAATTTGTAATTAAGCAAAGGACTCATGCCCAACATATAAAGAATTCTTATAAATCAGTACAAGAAAAAGGCAAATAATCCAATAGAAATATGCCATAGTAACTCATTCATTAAAAAAACATTTCATGGGCTGGGGATTTAGCTCAGTGGCACTGCACCTGCCTCGAGGTCCTGAGTTTGGTCCCTGGTACCAAAAAAAAAAAAAGTACTTCACACAAGCGCATACCAAATAGCCCACAAGCCTCTGAGTAGATGCTCAACCTCAGGTGTCTCCAAAGAAATGCAAATTAAAGCCACACCTCCTACTACTGAAACCCACAGGAACAGCCAACTTTTAGAGTGACACTGTCAAGTGCTGGAAAGGTCTGCAGTGAAGGGAACTTGCACATATGGATGTGGCAGTGTACAATGGTACGTACCACTGCCTTACCCCGCTGTTTGGTGGTACATCCAAAGGCTGAGTATCATTGCAAACCCTGAGCCCCAGCAACCCCACTTCAAGGTGACCTAGGACAACCTGCAATCTACTGTATTGAGATCAATGTGCAGAAAGTCCTGGGATGCCTGGCAAGAGCAGAATAGGTGAATCTGGGGGGTATATTTATACATTAGAATGCCACAGAACAGGGGTCAACAAACATTGTCTGAAAAGGGCTAAACAGGAGGCATTTTAGGCTTTGCAAATCCCATGCAGTCTCACACATCTATTCCTTGCTTATTTTCCTTATGATCCTTTAAACCAGTTAGTTCATAGGCTGTACAAAATAAAGCTACAGCTAAATCTGGGCCCAGGGCCACAAGGGGCTCACTGCTGCCTGCTCCTCAGCTACCAGAATGAGCTGCCACTGTGAGCAACCACACAGATGCATCTCATGCTTGATAGTTAGAGAGCACTGGACACAAAGGAGCACATTCAGACACAGCTCAAACAAAATTAGTACAGCTCAATCATAGTGTTGGCAATCTGGAGAACAGTTAGCTTGGGTTGGGGCTGGTGACTGGGAGGGGAGCCGGGAGACGTCTGGAACACTGGTAATTCTGCTAGACCTATTGCTACATCTATTGAGATGCTTTATATACAGAGTGTAATTGCCATTACAGTGACTCAAATCGAACAAGGGCAGAGACTATCTACTTTAATAGGCGCAGAAAATATTAAATTCCAAAGAAAATGTTCAAATTTCCACAGAATAATCTGTAAACAGAATTTACACTATTAAAACCTCTATGTTATGGGCAGATAATTTGGAGTTAATACATTTCTACATAATAAAGATTTAGAAACTTGGAGCTCAATTTCCCTAAATCTTCTAGAGAAATTAACTCCAATTAATTAAAAAATTCATTTTGTGTTTACCTAGTTTTCCTTAAAGTTCTGTTAAGATAGGGTTAGTATTTACTGATTTCAAGATTTTGCCTAAAATACAGACACTAGGAAAAAAGTTATTGTAATCTAGTATGAACAACATATCTAAAACTGTACCTTGATTTAGTATAATTGTCTTATGCATTTATGTTTTTTTGGCCAGTTAAGTCTGGCTGTTCATCTGTATGCACGATAATTAACTATAAGGACTTATAAGATAAACAAATGAATCTGATGCTGGCAAAGGGGAGGGTCAAGAAGGGGGGAAAAAAAGAGAATGTGTTATGTATATGTACCAATTCCCCACAATGAATTACATAATCATTATGTACTATAATCATGTACTAAAACATTAAAAATTTAAAAAAGATTTATTTTGTCTAAGGAGAGCAAATGTAGTGCTATCTGGTAAGAGTCCCAGGGCCTTTCTGGTGGTCTGTCCTTTCTGGTGTCTCCCTGTGCCACCCAAGGCTCTCTGGCAGCCTGTGAAGATGCTGTCTCCTCCAGATCACAGCTATTCTTAGTGGGGTTTCCCACAGCCTCTTGCTCCTGATCTGATAAGCAATCCATTTGCAGAGCAGAGAAGCAGTGGGCCCAGAACTCAGTAAAACCAAGATCTTTCCCAGCTTGAGCTGGCAACTGCATCCACACCACCAGGGGACAGAGAGATCCTTCCTAGGGGATTTCTGAACATGAATGACAGTACATGTTACAACAGCAAAAGGTCAAAGTCTGCTTAAAATACCATGTTACTATGATGGGACATAAATTTTAGACTTAGAAATCATAGGCTACCCAAGTATAGCAAGGGCTTTTTAAAGAACAAAATCATGACTTCTTTATTTTAAAGATGAGGAAATTAGGATTCTCCCCAAAAGGAAAAACTTGCTTGAGATCACAAAAAGTTGGTGGTAGCCAGTAAGATCCAAATGCCATACCTCCTCACCCTCTCCAGAGTTCTCCTTAAAAGGCAAGTTTCCCCAGCAATGGGCAAATTCTCTCTTTGGCCCATAGCTAGCCAGGCTCTGCAGAGGCCTCTTTTTGACCAGGCTTCAGTCTTGACCTCTCAATGCTTGAACAAACAGGGGCAGTTTTTCACAGCTCTAGGCCGTACCCTGAGGATGATCCTTGCCCTCAGTAACACACCTGAGAACGCTCAAGGGTGACGAAGCACCTACTATGTAAGTCACCCCACACCTTCAGACAGGGCCCTGGCCCCCCAGCCTCTGTTCAAGGGGAGGAGCCCAATTTCAACAAGTAACAGGGCCAACCCAGATGAGTCTCACATGGACAGCCCCCTTTCTCCTTTCCTGCCTCTGCATGAGCCCCCATGGTCCACCTGCTCCCTACTCTCCAGAGGAAGCACTCCAGCCCTCCTCATATTGTGGGAAAGGGCTCTGCTCCTTCCCCCACTGTCTCTAACTACAGAATAAAACCTGTTCCCATTATTGTAATGAAAGTCCCACTGTATTTCTCAACGACATGGTGTAAAGTAAAAGCGCAGTGAGGGAGGAAGAGCAGGGACCTCTACGGAACACCTGGCCTGCTCTCCCCTTCTCTCTAGGCACTGGGCAGGCGCTGTTACGAGAGAACTCAACACTGACCGATACGAAAACACACCCTGCGGTTAATAAAAGCTAAAGCAGACATGGTCAGGATGACCTGCCCAATTGCGGGTCTGGGTGAGCACATGCCCATGGGTTTGTAGAACAGACTTTCAAGTGTAAAGCTCCTCCTGGAATTCCCGCCCCGAGTGAACAAGAACCTTACCCTGCTGGAGATACACCTTCACCCTGGCAGATGTCTCCCAAGCCCCAGTAACCTTTCACAGTGCTTGTCACTTGTCCCAAATGCCTGCACATTCCCAAGCTATCTGGATATCACCTTGTCCCCTTCTGGGCTGCTGGATGAGGGGCTGGGATCCCAGCACATGGAGGTACTTGCACCCTCTAGGCACTCACTGCGGTTCTGGAGAGGACTGAGCAGTGCAGCCCATGAAGCCACATGACTTCATTTGTGAACTTGTTGAGTGCTCTTCTCAGCTGTGGATATACTTTCCTGGTTCTCAAACACACACACATTTCCCTTTCTACTATCCAAGTATGGCAGAAGAAAGCAGTATAGTAATTCCTACTAGCTCATGGTAGGGCAGGAACACTGGAGACTGGGGGGACGATAACTGAAAGGAAAACAAATCACCAGGAGTGAGTGTAGTGCCTCTCACCGCCCCAAACCCCACAGTCCAGGTTGTCCCAGAGTTTTGCCTTTGCTCAATTTAAACTAAGCATCATTAAAAATCTACCAAAAGTGGCCTTTGATTAGCAAATAAACAGCCCCACATAACTTCCCTATAACTCTTTAAATTAAATTCCGTATATATAAATTTTCAAACACTATATAGTTCACTGTTTGAGTAAAAACAGGAATAATTCTTTTAAATTAAATTAGTTCAAAGCAGTAGCCCAACATAACCTCTTTTTTTTTTTTTTTTTTTGGTACCGGGGATCAAACTCAGGTCCTTCTGCTTGCAAGGCAGGCGGCGAAACCACTGAGCTAAATCCCTGGCCCAGCATATCCTCATTTTAAAATGTTCTCCTCTAAGGTCAGACCAGTGGAAAATCATACAGGTGCTTAACTATATTCTTCTTCATCTGTTTTTGTTTTTTTTTTGTTTTTTGGGGGTTTTTTTTGGTACGGGGGATTGAACTTGGGACCTTGCGCTTGCAAGGCAGGCACCGGAACCACTGAGCTAAATCCCCGGCCCTATTCTTCTTCATCTGAATAAAATAAATAAAATATTACACAAAAACTATCCCTTGTTTTTCCCATATCAAAACATTTTTTGCATAGGCTTTCTTATCCGAGGCTTGGGATAACTCATTAAAAATTAACATCGTAATAACTACTTAATAACTACTTAAAGTCTTCAGGGAAAGAGCACATGTGTGAAATTTAAGACACAGACAATTCCAATAGAGGCTGGGAGCTAAGGGCATTCACATCATCCTCATTTCCATCAAGTACAAACTTGGTGACACACAGACACACACATACAGAATGACTCCTATTTGAAAGGCTTAACATCCACATATTGAGAGGCAGAAGCACATAATTAGAAATTATTTATAGCCATGGCATTTTCATTTGTTACAGTTCTGCTAGATTATTCTGTTCTATTGCTCTGATAGAAAACAGCCCTTCTAAAAGCACTTACAATGAAGACTAGAATAATACAAACCATGACACAATAAGTACAGGTGATAAAACCAAGGTGCTTGGCCCACAAAGCACTGGCATGAAGGGCATCCCGGCCAGGGCATATCGGGTCTGCTGGCAAGCAAATCGACCACTGTGGGCTGCAAGTTCCTTGCTTATTAGTTGAAAAGGATTTTCAGATTAGCCAATAAAACTTGATGCTTTTGCACCATTTTGGTGAAGATGACCTCACATGGAATTTAGCAGTAAGATTCAGACCACCTCCTTCTCTTTGGGTATAAACTCAGCTGGCGTGGGCATTCAATATTAAATTCATTCAGCTCCCAATGACACACACAAATCGAAAAGTCAGAATGGGCAGCTGCTTTGTAGGTGAAGATGACCCAGGGTAAGCGTTTGTTTCTACCCTCCCTGAACTAAAAGTGAGAGGTCAACACATACACAAAATGCCCATCAGGTAGAAATGCAGTGCTGGGAATGGAAATGACTAAAGTCTATTGTGGGACCAAGCATCAAGTGCAGAAGGCAAGAGGAAGCCACATTCAAAGGAAACACTGATGAGGGCCAACTTCAACAGGACCATTCAGACTTGACCAACCCTAGCCACTACCTCTCCATTTGCTTGTGGAGGGCAAGAGTTACTTTCCTCTCCTTGTTTCCTCTGAGGATCAGCCATGCTTTGTCATGTTGTCACTTTTAGTATGTTAAAGCGATTTTTTTCTTTTATGATTATTTTTTGCCATCTCAGCTACTATACAAAGCTACTATATTCTGCAGAGAAGGAAGTCAGGGCCAAGTCAACAGGCACTGAAGGAAGTCATGGTGTACAGTGAAGGGAGCTGGACTCTTGACTCTGCTAACTTCTGATTTCAAGAACAAGAAGATATCAAATCCCACCCTAGCTATGAATTGGCCTGGCCTATAATCAGCAGGAACAAATAAACCATCCTGCTATAAAGTAGACAAATAAATTTTAAAAGCAAAGCTGGAAACTGGATACTTACTCCTGTACTGACAAGAGACAACATAATCCTTTCATTTAAAGCTAGTGCTTCTCCTTGCTTCATCTTGGTCCTCTTCTTATCCAAGCCATTTCATTGCATACCTACAAACATAAAGATTATGGAAAAATCCATACTGTAAATACATCTAGACAGATTTAAACAATATACATCACACTGCTAAGAGTTCCTTGAGATTTAGGCAATATTTAAAAGAAATAAAATGGAGCCAGATAAGGTATACATGCCTATAATCCCAGCACTCTGGGAGGCTAAGGCAGGAGGATCCTGAGTCTGAGCCCAGCCTAGCAACTTAATAAGATCCTGTCTTAAACTTAAAAATTAAAAATAGGCTGGAGATGTAGCTCAGTGTGAAGCCCCTGGGTTTGATCCCTAGCAACATGCCAAACAAACAAACAAAACACAACATGCCGCCCAATCACCACATAAGAAATACAAATTTTTATGTACTATGAGAAAAAAATAGTACTTAAGACATTCCTATCATTACATGTAGATGAATATAAATAAACTTGCTGAAATATTTTGTTCATTGCTCCTGCCTACTGGGACTGTGGGCCTATATATCATATTTAGGAGGCTGGAATTGTGAATTTACTAGCAGTCAAGTTTTGATAAGAATGTACAAAATGTAAGATGCTAAATTGATAAGTTTTTAATCTTGATGTTTTATTATATTTCAAATAATAAAAAATAAGATTTTTATGTCTATCATTGGTTAAACTGAAAAGACCAATTGACAATTTAAGATATTCAAGAACTTGGTACAAACTCATATTAAGAAAACACAGACATGTTCTCTAGCACATTCTAAAGTCACAGGCAAAAGAAAAGAAAACAGGAAGCTTTCAGTTGGACACAGAAAGCCAATAGGGAATGTATCCAGTGCCTTTAAAATTTTTTCTCAGACCGATAACTCTGTGTATGCAACTAGATAGATACTCCCTGTTGATGATCTGCTTCATAAGGCCAGGCTTCCACCCCACGGAGTCTTAGTGGAGTGGAATACAGAAAACTCACTAACTCTTTAATAATCAAAACTTACCGGGGCAGCAAGGGCCCCAGGGCTGGGCAATCAGCGTTTGCCTCGGTCCAATCTGGGACCTCCAGACTTTTGCGGGCACCTGAAAACGCTCAGAGGCCCAGCGGGTGGCAGGCGCCCCGCAGGGAAGCCTGCGAGGGTCGGGGAAGGCTTGCGAGGCCCGAGGGGAGCTCGGTCCAGGAGGGTCTGCGCACCCGAAGGTTCGGCCCTCGGTATGCCACTAGCCCAGGCTGTCCCGCCCCACCCTGACCGTGCCAGCACGGTAGAGCCTCGTTACCCTCCTCCCCGAAGGGCGCTGGGAGGCGGAGGAAGCCGCCGGGAACAGAAGCCGCTGCTGCGACCCCGCCCTCACCCGCTTCACGCCCGGCTTCGGCCCGGGCTTCTGCCGTATGAGCGGCCGTCACCCGCACTGCCATCGCTCCCTCCATGTCGCAACGAGCCGCAGGAAGATGGCGGATTTACGACCGTGTCGTCATAACAACGGGCCACGGAGGCAAGTGTAAGTAAACGGCGAGAGGGGGCGGGGCAGGATTGAGTAGCTTTGACGGGCAGGGCTCGAGGGGGTGTGGCCTGGAACCGAAGAGGTGGGGCCCGGCTCGCCGAGGGTGGAGACCGGACCGGACGGCTAGAGGGGCGTGGCTACAATGAAACCGATTGCTAGGCAAAAAGGTGGAGCCAGGAGCAGCTCTTCTGGGTGGGCGTGGTCTTGCGTCGAGGGTGTGTTCAGACCTGAGAAAACCAGGGTTGGGGCGGGACTGTCAAGAACAGAACCTGAGTTGGCAACGCGTCGCAGCTCCGGGACTTGAGAGCCAGACTGGGGAGGCAGGCGCACCGGATGGAGTAACCCGGCCGGCCTCCAGAGCATCTCCTGCCTGAGGTCGACCAGCCAGAATATGACCTTGAGAAGGCTGACGCCGCCTAGGGTCTCAGTTTGAACTAGGCTTGCGGTGCTCGCCCGTCACCTTGCCCCCTAGGGTGTAAGAGTCTCCCTTCGTGATTACCCCGGTCACGGGAGATTCTACAACCCCACCCCACCCCCGTGAGAGATGGCTCATGCACAGATTTGCAAAGTCTTTTATTCTTTTCTATTTTTATAAAAATTGTGATAAATACACATCAAGTTTACCATTAGTGGCATTTAGTACACACATTGTTAAGTAAGTACTGTCACGGCTATCTATTTTCAGAAATTTTCATTGTCCTCAAAGGAAACTTGTACCCATTAAACAATCATTCCCCATCTCCCCTTGCCCCCACCCTTGGTAACCGCCAATCTACTTTGTTTCTGTAGATTTTCCTATTTTGGACACATTATACAAATGAAATCATACACTGTGTGCTTTTGTATCTGACTTCACTCTGCTTGTTTGTACAGCTCATCCATGTTGCAGTGTATGTCAGTGCTTCATTACCTTTTTTTTTAGACAGGGTCTTGACATGTAGTCCTATGTAGTTCGGGCTGGCCTTGAACTCACTATGTAGCCCAGTTTGGCCTCCAGCTCCCAGGGATCCACCTGCCTCAGCCTCCTCAGTGCTGGGATTGAAGGTGTGCATCACATGCCCCGCCATACTTTTTAATGACTCAATAATATTCCATTGTGTGGACAGGCAACATTTTACATAGTCATTTATTACATTTAAATTGTCTCTACCTTTTTGACTATTTTCAGTAGTGCTGCTCTAAACATTCTTATACAAGGTTTTTGGTTTTGTTTTTTTGAAGCAAGGTCTCACTGTATGTAATCCAGGCTGGCCTCGAATTCACAGTGATTCTCCTGCCTCAAACTTTTTTGTTTTTTTTCTTGATACTGGGAATTGAACTCAGGGCCTCATGCTTGCCAGGAAGGTGCTGTACTGCTGAGCTACCTCCCAGCCCAGCCTCAGCCTCGGCCTCTTGAGTTCTGGGATTACAGGCCTGAGATACCACACCTACACCCAGCAAGTTTTTAAATAAGGTAATATTGGGCCGGGGATTTAGCTGAGTGGTTTCGCCACCTGCTGTGCAAGCGCAAGGACCTGAGTTCAATCCCTGGTACCAAAGAAAAGGTAATATTTACTTAGATCTTTGAAAGTAAATGTGCCATTGGATTAAAGCATTACAAGGCTAGGCCTGGTGCCACATGCCTATAATCCCAGCATTTGGGAGGCTAAAGCAGGAGGATGATGTGAATTTGAGGCCAGCCTGGGCTACATAGTGAGTTCAAGGCCAGCCTGAACTACATAGTGAGACCCTGTCTCAAAAACAAAAGGGCCAGGGATGTAGCCTAGTAGTGCCCCACCTGTCTGGCAAGTGCAAGGTCCTGAGTTCGATTCTCAGTACAAAAGCAAGCAAGCAAGCAAGCATTTACAATGTCAATCATCCCTGTCTTGAAGAAGAAAAGAACTGAGATCCAGAACTGGCAGGATTCATGGGCTGGGGATTTAGCTCAGTGGCACTGCACCTGCCTTGCAAGTGCAAGGTCCAAGTTCGAGCCCCAGAACCGCAAAGAAAAAAAAAGAACTGATAGGATTCTTGCCAAGCCACTTAACCCAAGTCTAACCCAGGCTGGGAACCCATAGAGCTCACTCTGAAGGTCTGTTAAACTCTGTGGGCCAGCCAGATGCTGGATGTAAGAGACCCAAGTGAATCAGACAGACCTAGTTCTCTCCAGCAAGGGCAGTCTCCAGGAAAATGAAACACAGACATGGGGCCCAGTGTGCCCCTCAGCAGGAAGTGGGCAGGTCCACCCTGGGAAGAGCACTAAGTAGGGGTTATCTGCATGCTTCCCGTCTTTCTGATGGCCTTTTGTCCTACCCTGGCTCAGCCTGGGCTCCAGCTGAATAGCATGTGTTTTCCACGGTCAGACTTGGTGTAACAGCAAGGAGCCACACATAGGTTGTGGCCACAGAAATTTGAGGTTTGAAACCCACACGAACAGAGAAGAGCCACATAATGATTTTAAAAGGTGAAAGTAAGTTTACTATAACAGTACAGCAGGGCCGGGGATTTAGCTCAGTGGTTTTGCCGCCTGTTGTGCAAGTGCAAGGACCCGAGTTCAATCCCTGGTACCAAAAAAAAAAAGCAACATGACTTTTGGGCCTGGGATTTAGCTCAGTGGTTTTGCCACCTGCTGCACAAGCGCAAGGACCTGAGTTCAATCCCCGGCACCAAAAAAAAAAAAGTACAGCAGATATGAGCATAGTCAAAGAATATATTACCACACAATGAGGCAGGAGACCACACCAAAGATGAAGGATCTCACATGAGATGGAGCTTTTAGCAGGTGGGAAATAAAACACCATGCCACACTCAGTTTCTCAGTTTCTTAAGTACTGTGTCCAGACAAAAGTGATTTGGTGCCAACAAGCCTGCGTGGCTGGAAGGGATCATTGCCGGCCTTGGCT